TGGCCTCCCCGGCCCTTCCTGCCTCCTCCCCGCCGCGGCCGGCCCACCGTCTGCACCGGTCCCACACCCCCTCCCCATCCTGCCCTTTCTGCTCCCCTTGTCCGCACCGCCCCCCACGCCTCCTCGGCCAGCCCTTCACCAGGCCCCGCTTCCGCACCCCTTTCCTCGTCCTCCCCTTCCTTCTCCGGGGCTCCCCCCACACTATGTCCATCTCTTTTTGTCTTCCTGTTTCTTTAGATCCTACCAAAGCTAGACCTTCCCTCCCCAAACTGCTGGACAGGCCCGGCCGGTCGGTGAGCATCTGCTACCCCTCAGTAGGTTGGGCAGAGCAGAGAGGAATCACGGATGTGCTTGCTCGGGGCAAGTGCTCCAGGCAGAGTAGAGTCCAAACCCCCAAGAAGAAGTTTTAGAGTGAGTCAAGCTGCTCTTACATCAGCAGACAGCTCATCTGATCCCTGACTTGCTGCAAGATGCAGGCTGGGTTTTTCAGGAAAGCTCAGCTCCTTTTTAGCTCCCCAAAGGCTGCACAGACAGAGGTGTGCAGGCAGCTGCACAGTCTCCACGAAGGCCAAACTGGCCAGCTGAGGTCTAGAAGCTGTGTAGCTCAGTTAGTACAACGCTATGCCCAATTCACTGAGCCTCAGCATTGCTTTTTTCCCTTGGTGCCTAAATGGCAGCTGAACTTTTCTAATAATCTGACCCAGTCCCCTTTTAAAACAGAAGGTAATAAAGGGTGGACTTTGTTCAGCATGCTGAGCTCCAGCTCTGGGGATGGTCCAAGCAGCAGCTGGAGCAATTTCTTTCACTGTTTTCTTAAAGTATTCTAATGTACCTGATTTAAAAGCAAATAAATTGTCTTCACCACAAGATGCAGTCCTTCTCCTGGCCATTTTCACATTTATTCATTTATTTTATGGCTCAGAAATCCACCCAGGTCCCAGAACAGCATTAAACTTCTAAGGCCTGATGCTCAGATGGACAGAATACTTGCAAGTCTTGTTCCTGTCTGTGGGGATTGGGTTTTAAATCTCCCCCAATCAATACCTTAAACAGCTCAGACTTCTGCAACTATGTTGATGGGAACATTAAAATCTGTGTCAAAGGATGACGCTGCAATCCTGCAAATTTAAGCTGATTGTTTTTTTGTTGGATGTGGTGGGGGGTTTAGTGGATTATGAAGCAAGCAGTATAAGAAATTGGTTTTACAACTTGTTTTAACTATAAGTAAGCTTACTTCTCCTTTCACCCATGTCTTCATCAGACTTTTTTATTGCTTTCTGATAAAATGTGCAAAAATAGGAATTGTATATGTTTTTCCCTTCTTAAAGTTTCAGGTGCAAATGTCTAAACGTGTGCTTTTTCAAATCTCCTGTTTCTTTTGTATGTTTGAGTACTAAAGACAGACCTATCTTACTTTAAACCCAATTGATGGTTTTGCCTGACCTCAAGATTTTATATTTGTGGCACTAACTGGGCACCTTCATAACAGTCTTAGAGACTGTTGAAAAGAGAGGCCAGACTGCGCCTTTGAACTTTGGCAACTGAACTCAGAGCTATGGAGTTCCGAGGAAGTTTGGGACAAATTAGTGGGGCAAAGGGTGAAAACACATTAACCGCTGCCCATTCTGCACAGCGTCCTCTGCATGAGACCTTGTTCTGTCCATCCTGTACCTATCATTACTGCCATGTTCGTACACAATAAATACAAACATATGTGTTGTGCTTTAGTCCTCCTACCTGTAGTTCAGTAAGACTGAACCAGGTTAGTATTTGGATAGGAGACCTTCCAGGAGAGTTTACTCGCTGTAGGACATAATGTTCACTTACTGAGTAATATTTTTCCATTACTGAAGTCAGTTGTGAGTCTTCTGGTTCCAAGGATGATGAGCTCTAGAAATTCCAGCTTTGTATGCAATAAAAGCAAGTTCTTGAGCATTTTTGGTCATGATGGAGCTTTTGGCAGTTTACTGCAGAGTAAGAGAGTATCCTGGCCGAATTCCAACCTGGGTGATTACATTCAGCTGACTGAAAATGAGCAGTGGCAATTGCTACATTTCACTGTTGGGCAAAGTGATTTCCACACATGGGGTTAAATTTGTAAAGTGACTTAGGGTAAAGCAGAATGAAAAAGACTTACAGAAATTTCCCTTTAACCCTCATAGCTTATTCTTGAAGGCCTTGTGAGACTTGTCAGTCTGCTGTCACGTTCCTCTAAATGTCAGTGATCCAGCTGTTGGAGCATTGCTTGAAATGGCTGTACCACATCACAGGATGGTCTTCAGAAAAGTGGTGCTTTTTATAATGCACATACACGTTCCCACACATAAGCAAGGAAACAAAGAGAATGGGAGAAAAAGAAATAATAAAAGAATATTCAAAGTTTTCTTTGTTGGAAATTAAAATACTGTGACAGTGCTGTTCAGGCTGATCTGTGGTTGGTGTTTTGTTTCAAAAAGGCTAAGTGATCCTTTGATTCAAAAAGGTAGAGAAGCACTGATGTAAGATATAGAAGGCAACATGGAAGTGTATTTCCTGTTATATATGTACCCCAATGTATAACAATTTTTTTTTCTCCCTGACTTTCCCTACTTTATTTTGTACCCAGATTTTCTTGCTCCTGTCTGAAATATGCCTTGTAACTTTACAAGTTTTCAGAAGACCACTGTGTTTCACTGGGATAGGAATATTGCATCTGCTTCATAGCAGGAGGATGTTATATGTATTACAGCTTAATTCTGTTCTACTTTAAACCTAGATAAAGAATGAAGACTGTCTGTACCATTTTGATTACCTCTTCTAGGGTTCAAAGAGAGAATCATTTCCCCTGACCTTCATTTGCTAATGACTCAGCTTGATCTAACTGGTATACAGATAAACTTGCTGTTAAACAAAAAATCCGGTAGGAAGAACCACCTCAATGTCCAAAATTCCTTTGCCCCTGCTGGTATCGGTGGCTCTCTGTAACCATCTAAAAGCTGAACTACGCAAAGTCACGAGAGCTATTCACAAGAAGCTTGTATATGAATGGACAATGCTGCCATCCTCTTGAGAGATGAGACGAAGGACCCTTCACAATGACAGCTCTGCAAGTTCCAAATATGAGAGTCGTGCATACGGAGTTTCATGCTTTGTCTCCAGTGTGATCTTCGTTCTTGTTAAGCTAATTTCACCTGTTGTCACAAGTTTTCCTTTTGGGATTTAGACCATCATTAGCCACGGAACTCCTGTGTAAATCATTTTTTTTATTTTTCTGTTTTTCCCTATTTTACACAAAGACTGTTAATAGGACTGTTAGTGGAATAAGCAAAGCCAATATTCACAGGGTTTAACTTTGTACCAATAGCACCTTTTGCCCCAGAATGCCTTACAAACGCCATACAGCACGCATGTCCCAACGTACAACTTGTCATGAAACTTCTGTTCACTTAGGCACCACCTTAGTTTCCCAAGCTGACTTTTAGGGACGTTTCAGCACATAGCATCTCATACAGTAAGTCAGACGCCACCCAGAGGTGCCTTTCAGGTCTGAGAGCTTTCTCCGTGAATGTATTCAGAGCTAAAGAGACCATGCATGCATCCTGCGGGTTGATGCCGTCCACCTAACGGGAGCATCCTGAAGTGACTGAGGGAATGGCAGAAGGAGGGCACGCTGGCACTCCTCCTGTCCGACTGTGGGTGCGACGCGTAGGTGTTTACTGCGATGAGCACCGCAAAACGTGGCTTGTGGCTGCGGAAGAGGCAAGTGTCCTTTGAGCTTCCCAGTGATTCTAGCTTTGCTATTGCAGGTGCCTCTACTGCATTGCCAGTAACTGCCTGCTTTTTTTTTTGTTACTTTCCCCAGGAGGAAGGTATGCTGAGGGCTCGGATCCAAAGAGTTCAGGTTCCCCTGGGTGAGGCGCTGCGACCCAGCCAGCTCCCCCCATCTCGGCTGCCTCATATGTGGCAGCTGTCCCAGGGTGAGCAGTACAGGGATAGTAACTCTCGCGTTTGGGAGATAGAGCACCATCTCATGGTAAGGATGGTGGCAACAATAGACCATAGTCATGCCTGTTTGTGAAGTCATTTGAGATCCTTGAGGGACGGCAAAGGACTGTTATTTTGTTGAAGTCCATTAGCTCAGCCACAGTAACTGTAGACGTATTGAACTTTTCCTTGTTGCTTACAGCTTGGTGGTGTTGAAGAGCTGCTGCTTAAACTCGTGCCTGGTGATTAATCTGGTATGTGTAGACATTACCCCTGATTTGTACTGTGCTCTGTTTATTTCCAGTCATTCTTTAATACGAATTTTTGTCTTTCAGGAGCAGTGGCTCTAGGAAGATGTCGTTGTATATTTTGTACAATAAATGATTCTCTCTCCACTGAAATGCAGCCACCTCTGAGGTGGAAGCAGTTAAACTTCACACAGCAACATCATACGAGAGTTTAGGACAGGCAGTGAAGAGGAGTATTGTGTCCAAGTGAAACATCAGGGGGAGTTCTAGGTAGGCAGAATGTAATTGCCCCAAGTGGAGTTTGGCCAGGATGCTGGAAATAATGCCCTAGTGGTATTGAAAAGTGCTGTGGGCAGCTGAATTATCAGAAATTTGAAAGGCAGCACCTCCCTAGCTCTGGGCAGGGGCAGGAGCTGAGCTGTGGCTATGAGGGAGTTGAAGTCCCACCACCACTTTCGGTAACAGCGGTGCTGTCCTGTAGAGGTCTCCCATCCAACTACTAGTACCATTTGGTTTTGCTCATCTTTTGATCTCTCATGGAAGATCACAGTTACAGTTGTCACAGCTGCAGAGAGTCAAACTGAGTGTCTGAAATCCTACTTTCTAGAGATTTGAACAAGTTGGAACTGTCCTCCAGTCTGTTGGGGTTTTGGTGGGGTTTTTTTGGAGGGTGGGGGTTTCCAAGAGACTTTCTCCTGGAACAAAAAAAAAAAAAAGCCCTCCTTGTTGTCTTTATGGGACATACACAACTAAGTTGGTTTGTTTTGTTGTTTTTTTTAAATGTCTCCTCCAGCTGCAGTTATATGACTAACACCAAATCCTTGGTTGTGTAGAACTCACAGAGAGGGCTTTTACACAAATACATGTTTTAGTATAAAGTCTAGAGACACAGAACTGCTAAGAATTAGTCAGCCATGTTAATTGGAATCTTTGTTGGAATCTTTGTGCATCCAAGTGGAAAAGGACACATTTTGACCAGAGAAAAGAAAAAGGCCTTCAAGCATAGCAACATAAAACTTCCCATATCCATTGTCCACATTATCATCCTTTAGCCAGACACAGAGAATTCTTGTGTATGTTGGCAGGCATCTGCAAGCAGCAATAGATGTCTTCTGAACTGTCTGTGACAGAGGGAAATTGGGAGCTCTTTAAAGCCTTGGCTTTAAGACAGTGTCTTGCCCCCCAGCCCCCTGAAAAGCATGTTGTTTCTACAGTAACATTTTCCTATCATTTTAGTTCTCTGAACATGTCCCAGAAGGATCCCTGCCAGAAACAAGCCTGTGAAATACAGAAATGCTTGCAAGGTACCAAGTGTCATTTTGTCTTTTTGGTGTCTTGATTTTTGCTGGAACTTAATTCTTTTAACTTAACCCTGTTCTCCTTTATCTTGAGATGGAAGAAAGCAAGCACATTAGCATCACCTGGTTGCAAAGCAAACAAAATTATAATGTCTGGGTTTAATAGATTTCCCTTGTGCTTGCTTGTAAGTAATGAGACACCATTAGTACAAAACAGAGCATTTGTAACAGTAATGTGCTTATTTCAGAGTGTTCTCCATGCTGGTAGTGAGATCCCATGTGTAGTCTTGGGACTCAGCTGTAGGCAGGGAGAGCTAGACATTATAATAAGCTCTCATACAGAGTGGGTAGTGAGGTAGTGGGTGGATTGTATGAGAAGACTGCAGAGCTTCTAGCTCCAGGGGTGTTTTAAGAGCAGGTCAGACAGATGTCTCTCAGGAATGGGTTAGGTATATGTGACCTGGCCTCAAGGTATGAGATTGTGTCCCTCTGGAGACCTTTAACAGCTGTTTTGTATTAGTTTAGCTAAATATTTGTAGGGGAAAGGGAGATTATGTGATAATGTGTTTTGGGAGCCTGAGCTGGGGAGAGTAGACTTGTTACTTGCAGAGGACAATACTTTTAAAAATTTTGGTTGCTTCTTGGGAAAGGATTTGCCTTATGGAATGAATAAGAGAAAACATTCCTCTGTGCCAAGGCAGCTTAGCCATATGGGAAAGAGTTCTTCCTAACTCACCTGGTGGAGCCCTTAGCCAGCGTGCTCTGAGCTTTACATGAGAATAACTCATGGTGTTAGCCCAGGGATGACGAGGCAGGAGGCTAGCGATGCCGCAGCTAAAATTAGCCATGCCAGTTCCACAGCAACTCATTTCTGCCTTTATTTACAGACTCCAGGCAGGTTAGCTAAAATGTAGCAGGGAGGGAGGAGGGGGTCCTGCTGGGGAGGTAGAGGGATGGCTTTGCAGGCTGCAGCAAACATAGCGATAGCAATCTGTATGGGTAACACAACAGTCCCAGTGGCTGGGGAGGAGCACAGGAGGAAAAGCATCTGGGAAAAAGGGAAAAGCAATAGTCAGTTATTGGTAGATGTCTGTCTCTCCCAGGATTGTATTTTGAAAGCTGTGTTAAGCTCAAAGCAAGGGCTCAAACAACTCCCTCTACATGTCCCCAATATTTGTCTAGATACTACTTTGTACTGTCTTCATGGTTTGGAGTGTTCTCCCATGAAGGGCTGGCTGCCTTCTTTCCCCACAGTAACTGCACTTAAAAGCTAATGTTTGACCTTGTTTTGGTCCTGTCTGTGACAATGTTCTTTTTATAACATTCATGGAGGTTATTCTGAGTGGTTTACCTGTGTAGGTTTGTGTACAGATTTGATCTGAATGGTTAAGTGTTAGCAAAGAAGCTCTTTGAGTCTGTTATATGCAGACTCCACTGTCCGCAGTTTCTCTAGCTATCATTTTGGAGTGCTGCTGTTTTTCACGTATTACCATGCTGTGGAGTTGTCCGAGTTGCACAGATGAAGCAGCTATGTCAACAGCAAAACAATTTTTCCCTGTAAGAATTAATGCAATAGAGGATGCATACAGAGCCTTAACTGACAAATACTCAGAGGTGGTGTATACAGTGTGGAGGACGAAGGGCGGAAGCAGGACCTTTGGGAGATGCTGGCTTTTCAAAGGCTGGTTTTGGAGTGGGTCATTGTTCCAAAAGAACTTGCCTGCTTCCTCTGTGAGACTGAATGTCCATTGTAAATCTCTTTTGTGTTTTGCTATCCATTGTATGACTAACCCTTGTGCTTTTCAGGATTGCATCCCTGACAGATAGCAGGGTGTGCCTGTATGTAGCTGTGGTTTTGGAAACAAACCTGCACAGGCAGAAGAACAGTTAGGAGAGCCTTGGAGCATTCATCATTGGCGGGTTATAGCAGAGAGAGATGAGCTCTCCTCTCCAAGGGCCTGCCATGCCTCCTAGGCTGCCAGCTTGCACAAAGCAGTAACATCACCATAATCTTTTTCTCAGGGGTGATCTCTGTGCTTGTGTTACAGGTCACTCACCAAGCCAGTTAGGGAATTCATAGCCCAGCAATCAGAGCAGGCTGGCTTGCTTGCTAACCAGAAGGCAGTCACTGCTGCTTTCTGGGCTCTCCAGTGGTTGCTGTGTGTGTCTCACATTGGGTTGCTGTTGCTTCTTTTAGTCTTCTAAAAATCAGGGCCGGGGGGGGCGGTGAGTGCAGCTGTAGTGGTTGCATAGCTCATCCAAGGCAGAGCGGGTAGCTCTGCACACCCTGCACTTCTTTGCAGACAGGCAGGTAGTTATTTATTCAAGCCACAGATTCAGCCTGCTCACATACCCACAGGGCTTCTCTCCAAGAGCCTGGTGGCCAGCCCTGAAAAGCATTGTGGGCTTTGCCACCTCAGCCGACAGTGGCAGACAGCAAAGCACTAGGGCAGAAAGGATGCTGGACAAATCACCTGTGTCCTGCAGTGCCTAAAACTGCCAGTGCAGTGAAATCTCTCTGAGCCTGAAACAAAGACAATACGGAGAAAGTAGAGGTGGGCGTAGCTGTGCCATCCACCAAGACATGAGCCGAGTCATCCCAGGTCAGACTAGGAGCTCGTTTAGCCCTGTTTCCCAGCTCTGGCAGTGTCCAAGTGAAGAAGCCTAGGAAGGAAGGTGAGAGGAGGTCAAGTAAGGGACCTCCTGAGCTAGAGCTGGGACTTTTGTGTGGAAGGTGTTCATGTCACTAGCTCTGTGCAGTTGGATTCAGTAGCTGGCGTCTGGCTAAGCATTCCTGCTAGCATGCTGCCTGCTTCGGTTGCGCTGCAAAGCTACAGCCTACCCACAACAGGCCACCAGTAGGAGGTTGGCAGTCACGCTCCTCATCCCTTCCTTTTACAAATGCTGCAGTGCTGAAGGGTGCACATGTCCCTGTTTATACCAAGTCGTCCTTGGATGCTTTTATATTTACACTCAGCTGTAAACCTTATAGTGACATGGCAGCTGAGTTGAAGACCATGAATGACAAGATCCAGCTTAAAAGCACACAGGCTAGAGAAAGTAAGGATTGAAGGGCAGCAGTAAGGGAAACCTTATTCTTACTGTAGTGAGATCGGATAGCTACAGAACTGTGGGACTGAAGATGCTCCCATCCACAACAGCAAGGCTGCCTTTGCATGGCTTTAGATAGCTGAAACTAAAGAGAGATTGTTGTAGAGCAGAAAAAGTGATTAAATGCTTGTAAGCAGCTCTTGCTTTTCAGAGAAACACGCTGCCAGCAGCTGAAGGGCTGGGCTAGATGTGTCCCCTCCAGGGACAAAACCTGTTCCCCTCTGCAGACTTAGTGTCTCCTTATTTTCCAGCAAACAACTACATGGAGTCTAAGTGTGAAACCGTGCTTCAGGAAATGTGGAAGTGCTGTGCCCAGTACCCCAAGGGCAGATCCATCTGTTGTTCGGGGTTTGAGAAAGAAGAAAGGGAGAGAGAAAAGTTTAAGGCGACTTCAGAAGAAATTCCCCCACCACCTCAGTAACGCAATGCAGCTCCAGCAGGTGCCAGAGCATGGACTCACCTGCAGAGCTGATCTGTGTTTTTTCAAGCCTTCTTTAGACTTTCAGGAAAGCCAGATCGCTCCTAGAACACACTACCTGGCACACCAAAAAGTATAACGCAGTACCAACAGATGGCCTGGTTAACAGACTTTATTTTCTGTACCAAAACATCATCTACATTGTCTCTGCATCGCACCTGTGTGTGTGAAAAGTCAACTTGATGTTTTTAGAATGCTTACCTTACTATAATCCATCCTTGCTCTCAAAATGGAGAACTGGAACCAAGTTATTCTGGCTTCTGGAGCGAGAGGTACAGGAAATGAGCTCAGAAGAGTGAGTGAGTTTAAGCGTGACACATGAAACAAGCCCATCTTGACACAGCAAAGGTATTGCTGCCATCATGCAGTAGTTCCAGACAACATTTGCCTGTCCAGTGGTTCAAACTCAAGAATGGGAATCGGGTCTGGGGATTGTTCCTAGGTCTTGCATAGATCACGAGTGACTACAAGTCACTTTGCCTAAGTGCCTCACTTTCCCACTGGACAGACTTTTGGTTACTTTATATTTGAATTGCCTACACGCTGCTATTTGCATGACAGAGATGTTAGGAACATTATTTCAGGGATCGCTACAGGAATAGGATTTTTTTTTAAAAAGCAATATTCATTTGAAAGATTAGACTGTTGATATAAAATTTATGAATAATTGAACACCTTTAAGCAATATGTTATGAACCCAGCGTAGTTCAACCCGCTGGTACCCAGAGGCCTGTCACAAAGCCCTGGGCTAGATCCAAGAACTGATTTAGGTGCTGCTTACTGAACAAGCAGTTGTAGGCACTTGCTTTCAACACAGCATTCCAGACTCACTCACAAGCTGGCTGTGTCTGGACCCCAGGGAGAGATGGCTTTTCAGAAGCTCTCACCTGTGCAGCAGAATTTCCTGTGACCTGTAGGAAGAGCTCGGTAGACAGGTTCCTGCATTGCTCTTCAGAGCTGCCTAAGTCTCTCTGTCCCCTGTAGCTGGCGTCCAGCACCTCAGTGGGTGCCAAGTCCATTACACAGCCTAGGCACCTAAATATCAGACTTCAAACCCCCTAGGCCCCTAACTCTGTCATTAGATCTAGCCGTAAAGGACTTTTGTGCTGTGATAAAGTACAACTTACTTATGAAATAAGCTTCTATAAACAGACCACTGTAGTCTAGGCACAATAGTTTGAGTGTATTGAAGCCTAGAAGAGAAAACCATCTGTATTCACTACTCTGAAATACCATGATACAAAATAAATGACTGGAACAACTTGTAGTCTCAGTTTGGTTGTTTATTGAGAATACAACATAGATGCAAGCTGGGCAGCTTGGCTTCTATTCACAGTCCAGAGCTACATGTGGTATCATCATGTTTAAATAGAAGCTGCTTGATATTTTTATAACTGGGGCTCAAGATCAGAATAATTCAGCGCTAGCCTTCCCCTCCCAACGTCCTCCCCCCCCAAAAAAAACCATAAGACAAAATTGGGGTTTTAGTATTCTTGAAAAGTAGGGGACAGTGATTACAATGTTGTGAAGCAGCTCAAACACTTGACAAGTAGCTCATTTTTCCTTTTGCCCTATCTGAGCAGGAACAGTGGAAAGTCACTAACAGATGATAAAAAAATAAATACTTAGTCTTCTGTTGTGTCTATTAAGAAGAAAAGCCTCATGTCCATGCCCACTTCTACTTGGATGGAGCAAACTTGCTCAGCAGGGAGACTCTGAAGCCAGGCTGGCAGCAGAATAACCTCCTGCCCCAGAAGCATCCCACCTACTGGGAACATGGGTGACTGGTGCCAGGATCATCAAGGAGGGATTTATTAAGACAGCCCATGGTAACCTGCAGAGGAAAGGGAAGGCTGGTGGCTTCATGCTACTGGACTGGCTGTAACTGCTCCCGTGAGTCAAACACAACATGCAGGGTAAGACAAAACCATGCTGGTTCCCAAGAAGTCAACAGACCTCACACATAGAAGCTATTAGAGCAAAACTGTTTAATAAAATATCACTTCAACAAGCATTTACATACAATATATAAAAACACTTTAAAAGCCTAATGAGTTTTAAACCTTATAGTGGAACAGACACCAGAAGTTGTTGAAACGAGACCAAAACTAGCGAGGGGGGGGCGGGGGGGAACACCTCATCTTGGCACCTGCAATAATGAAAATGCATCCCCACAGAGGTTCATTCAACATCAAAGCTTCCAGTGCAGGCCCACAGCATCAAATGGTGCCAGCCACAAGCCCGACACTGCCTTTGATTTACCAGATCCTGATGTCCTTGTTCATTCCCTGCCTGCATTCACATCAAACTCAACATGAATTTGTCACTTGTTTCCCCTTCCAGCAGCAACAGAGGCATTTTAACTCCCTCTCTGGGCCACTTCTCTCTGTAGCAGCAAGTCAGGACCCCATGTAGCAGAACCCAATACACCCTTCCCTGCAGCTGGGCAGAAATAGCGGCTTATTTGAGGCTGAAAAACATCCCTAAGGTCTGTTAATGATTTACTTTGAGTTTTGTCATTGGAGAAAGCTTTGTGGAGATTAGTGCATCTCAGAAGAAGTTGTGTTATGCAGCAGACCAGGCAGAGGGACAGCAATGCTGTTTTCCTAGAGGAACAAGAGATACCCTGCAATACAAATGTATCAATTCATGCACTTTCAGCCCTGCAGGGTTCCTAAAAAAACCACCAAAACCAAAACCACCACCACCATCTGTTACTCCACTTCCAAACATCAATTTACTGAAGACTTATTTGCTGTATCACATCACTCCTGCAGTCCTAAATGGCTTTTAGGAAGACCATCATTAAAAGAACATGAGCCCAGCTGCTCTTTCATTCTCCTTGGCCATGTATGGCAGAACAGGAGCAACAATACCAACTTCTGTTTCCTGATTACCTGCAGCGTCTTTTCAGATCCTGAAGGTGAGAAAAACCTCAGCTAAATCAATGTGTTGCTACAGTGACACTTCAATCAACAAAGCTGAAGCAAAATTAAGAACTGCAAGTGCTCATCCCAAAACCTCTGGTGGAAGAATGTCCAGCAGCTTTGGGGGAAGATACCCATTTCTAGCTATACTGAGAGTAGCAGCAGATGATCAGAAAGGCCTTACACAGCGCGGGAGATGGGGTGCAGCCGCTGTGCCATGTACTGCATCCTGATCACCCACACGCATCATCATTCCCTAGCATGTTTCCCATTGAAGGATGGGCTGACTTTCACATTAAAAAAAAACATTCTTGGCAAGAATCCTATATGGACCTGCTGGAGGACATCACCGCACCGTCATGCAAGTCCCCACACTCTGGAAAGCAGTAATGCCAGCCCAGCAGCCAATGCAGAACACCTCTAAGGGATTTTTTTTTTTGTAATTTTCTCTTGTAGGTTATTAGAGTTCTGCTCTGCACACAGCTGCACTGGGACAGACTGTCCAAAAGCAGTTGAACTCTGCATCTGGGCTGCCTCATGACCTGCAGAGGGGCTGCAGCTGATGGAATTAAGCAAGCAGCTTTTTTTTGTGGCAATGGTAAATCCAAAGAAGGAAAGAACATAACCAAGGCAGAAAGTATGGAAATGAGCCACTCCACAAGAACACAACCTAGTTTACCCAACAGTTTTGTCATTTCAGTTGCTCGCAGAGAGGGTTGTGCTCAGCAAAGGCAGGTAAAGGACTGCACTCGATTTCGCATCCTCCCCCCACCCCCCGATTCCAGTAGAGCTGGCAACAGGGACCCTGGACCAGTACAATGTACCCTAAACAGGGATGCATTTCCTGTCTACAGTCCTGTCCCACATGGTTACAGCTCTAAAAGCATCACCAACACCAAAGTGGCCAGAGAAGGTCATGGTAGACTTAGAAACAGCAGTCTGAGGCCCAAGGTGATTTACTGTAAGGGGCACAGCTGAAACGCACACCACCTGTGCCAGCTAGCCTGACACAGACAAGTCAAGCACGTTGGAAGACTGCCCACCACAAGAGAGCGCCTCAGCACATTTCAAAGGCTTGAGCAGTCAGCTAGCAAGTGAGAAAGGTGCTCTACAGTGCAGGAAGCTTGGTGACTTTCAGAACTCGTGATGAGGAAAGGGCCTGGAGAGTCATCCATGGTGCTCAGTTTCCATGAGCAGTGCCAGTGCTGCAATTCCAGTAAGGGTACAAATAACAGCAAAGGAGAAGCCAAACGGCCATCTATGTGCAATGCAATGGTGGGGAGAGGGCAGGAGAACCCCCACCACCACATATAGCATCAACTTGCTCCTTATCCACCTGCCCTAGACACAGCCCAGTCTGTCCCCTGGCACTTCTGCATCCACCCCAGCACAACTGAGCATATTTTGGATTGCACACACCATCTTTGTGCAGAATGAAGCACAGGCTTTCAGGTACCGGGGCATAAAAAGTGCAAGCTAAATAGCAGTGAACAGCTGACAGCTGTTGTACACATATACCGGCAGACAGATGTACATGTAACAGCCCTGAGCACCTGGAAAGAGGCACATTTAAGAGATTTCTCTGCCACTACGTGTTTATGAGGCTGCAGCTCATCAGAAAATCTGGGACTGGACATATTTGGTGGGGAAAGGAATCACAGCAATACACCAGGAGTCATAAGCTTTCAGACTGATCCCAGCACCCTAACAGCCCAGACAGCAGAAAAAGTTGGAAATCAGAAGCAGTGTTGTAAGAAACAAGGGCTGGAACCTGTGAGCAGAAGGGACTGAGCCTGTCGGCAACATCCCTTGACTTTATAAGTGAGAGAGAACAGCAGTAGAGGAGGGGAGGGAAGGCTGGGCATGAAGGGAGAGTCGAGCACAGTTTCTAGGACGCCATTCCGAGCAGGAATCCTCCAGCAAACCCTCCAGTCAGGATAATATTCTTCTTCAGAAATATGATCACCTAAGCAGGGGAGAGAAGAGCCAACAGCGTTCAACAACAGCAGGTCACCCACCCACCCTCCCCATAAGAAGACATCCCTCAAGCTGTTCTCCAAGGTGAGTGATGCTCAGAGACAGGCCACTGCTTGGGTCTGGGAAAGTATCCTGCCTAACGACCTCTCCTCCTTCATCTCCCTGCTGCGTGTACAGCTCCTGAACTGATCCAGTCCCAGTGCAACCCAGATCCTCTGAGAGCTGCAGTCCAAGCCTACATGCTCCCAGGCTCTCTCACAACCAGCACGATCAGTCTGACAGAAGGGGCTGCTGGCTGTGCATGCCAGACCAGGGTATAGCAGAGTCCAGGGTAACTAGGCCACTCTGCTGTGCTTTTCTTGTCAGACTGAAGAGACACTTTTCCACGCAACCCCAGCACGTTTTCTCCTAACCCCAAAGAATTTGCAGCAACACACAGTGAGCTGGTGTCATGCCTAGAAGCCACCCTGACTGTCTCAAATATGCATAGATAGAATCATAGAATCACTTAGGTTGGGAAAGACCTTTAAGATCAAGTCCAACCATTAACCTAGCACTGCCAAGTC